GATAGATGTATAGATGATAGATAGATAGACCTTTCGAAATGTTTCAAACAAATGACTTCAGTCAGAACTGCAGTTCTGCAAATTTATCATACAGATCAGACGACATATCAACTATGTTGAGCCCTGAGCACACAGATACTGTGACGACACGTGAACAATTTTTTTAACTTCATATCTACATTTGACTTGTGCCTGTCTTGATAATCCCGCGCTCCTGTTCTATCGTTTTTGTGCCTGATTTCTCCTCCTTACCTCTCTGATGTATACTGTGATACATGGTTCTCCGTAAATACTGTACACGTGACTCACGGTTATGCTATATATTTTGTTTTATTTCATCAGATGGCGATTTATTTTCAAACCTGTGAAGCACACACTGAAGACAACATACTGCATAGTATATGACCAGATTACTTGCATGCGTTGTGAATTTTGATTGTGTTGCCACCAATGCACTTGATGACTGTCCTGCAAATCAAGTATGTATTCAGCGGAGTTAAATAAAAAAATAAAAGGTTTTGTTAAATTTAATCTCTCTAGTCGCTGATGGCATTGAAGGGGGAGGAAGTATCGGTTTCCACTCACCATCACACACTCACAGCGGGACCGATACACTCACTCAGCACCCAAACAGACACCTGGGGTTGGAGGGCTCCTTTGTCAGCAACTTTATCTTCCTGCATTGAACCCTGTGAGAGCAGAACAGAAAATAAAAAGGATAGGATATCACAAAGGGGTTCAGGGGCCTGTGTACAATCAAAAATGCATGAGAGACAGCACAAGATGAAGAGACCCTGCTAGGATAATGTTTTTAGAAAAAAATGTGAACAATGTAATGTGTGCTACTCAATGTTGTGTGTTTATTACTGGCTTAATACAGCAGAATTACATGATATAATACATAATATGATATATACATAATTCTGAATGTAGAGCAATGTTTATATACAGTGGGTACGGAAAGTATTCAGACCCCCTTAAATTTTTCACTCTTTATTACATTGCAGCCATTTGCTAAAATCATTTAAGTTAATTTTTTTTCCTCATTAATGTACACACAGCACCCTATATTGACAGAAAAACACAGAATTGTTGACATTTATTAAAAAAGAAAAACTGAAATATCACATGGTCCTAAGTATTCAGACCCTTTGCTGTGACACTCATATATTTAACTCAGGTGCTGTCCATTTCTTCTGAGCATCCTTGAGATGGTTCTACACCTTCATTTGAGTCCAGCTGTATTTGATTATACTGATTATAAAATATAACAAAAATTTAAGGGGGTCTGAATACTTTCCGTACCCACTGTATATATGGGTAGTTGACAAATAGGCAGTAAAAAATGCTTATTTTGTAAAATACCATTTTTTGAAGAAGAAATTAATATATTTATGTAGTGTGAAGTCTGATCTTTGAGAAAATATAAAGGGTCACTAACTTTGTCAATTCTTTCATTGTTTTTTTTTTACATTTTCACTGAACTGTACCATACATTTGTCCTATGGTATGACATAGCAAAAATTAAGAAAAAAAACTCTTAATAATATATAAATAGCATGAGGGAGATTTATCTTCATCGTTAGATGCTTATTTTTATATAGTGTTATTTATTTAATATGAAATTATAATTAACATAGTTTTTTCCTCATGACTTGTTGGACAATTTCAGGACAAACTTTGTCAACAAGACAAACTTGGCTGTCATCCGTTCAAAACTGCTGAAAATTATACAATTTTAAGATGAGTGATATTTATATCCCGCTATTACAATACTCAACTGTTTTTTTTTAAAGATATGTTGAGATAAAAACAAATATGTGGTTCTTTTATGTGTCACACCATAGAACATTACGTCACACTAAAAGACAGAAATGGTATTAAATTATTTCTATTTAATTTTGAACATGTCAAAGGAGAAAGAAAGTTTAATTTTGATACAAACAATATCAACGTGTTTTTAAACAAAATAAAAAACAATTTTCATCAACAAAAGTCAGTCTCTTAGTCAATCAGTATGTTACTGAAACTTTTCTAGCCCCTGCTACATGTGTGGCATAGCTAAATATGACTGATATTCAAACTATATTCATTAAGATTTAAATGAATTTTTAAAAACTATATGGCTACTCTTTTTAAGGTGTCATTTTGATTCTATTTACTTTCTGCATCGTTCTCTTAGGATCTCCTCCTTTCTGCGTGGATCCCTGTTAATTTTCTCTATATATTTCCGTGTCCTCTCTCTTCCACTAATTTCTCTCCCTCAATTATTTCTGTTTCAAAACAAATGACCACATTTTATACTTATTTTCATGACACTTTATAACAGTACAAGTTTTCTGCAAAAACATCAGAAAATAGTTTAATTAATGTAATTATTGCATTTAAAAACACTGGAAATTATCAAAAAAGAATAAAAAGGAGTAAAACTAATCTTATTTAATTATTTTAAACACTTTTTAAAGAGACAGTACAGGCATCACACGGAGGACGTGTTAGCCTTTTTCTGTCAATTAATGACCTTGCTATTCCGAGCTAAACCGTCATTAGCGGTTAGCAAGACATATTTGCATAATTTTCCATGATCATGTAGACAGTTAAGGGTTAACCGCTTAACTGTCCCCGTCCCACCTGTGGGACGTTTGGTGCTCTTTTTTTGTTGTCTTTTTTCTCTATCAAATCTTTTAGTAATCATCATAAATCATCTATCATTTGAAAGCTTAGAAGCCCAAGATTCATCCTGTGAAAACCATTTCGAAATCAGACATTGCGTTACCATGGAAATGGTACTTAAAAATCTTTTGGCGGTCTCCTCCCCCTTAGTGGGCAGTATTACTTAGTACTACAAAATTCTTTTAGAATCAAAACTTTTTATAATCTTGACAAAAAACATATCATTGGAAAGGTCTGAGTCTCAGGATTCCATATATGGGGGTTATTTTGAGAAATAAAAGTAATATTGACAGAGAAATCTAGACATGTGTGACAGAAAAATGCATTAAAATAATTCAATGGAGTTTGGATGGCACCCGGTGGCTGTTTGTGGTATAATGCCCTAAATAAAATCTCACAGGAACCTCTATTTTTTTCATATCAACTTCAAATTTGGAACATAACTTATTTAGACATAAAGCTATAATTTTATACCAATTTTAGAGTAAAACCTGATATGTAAAATATTTATTATATATAAAATAAAATTAATATAGTGCATTTTCTTTACAGTAAATTTAAACTACTATAACTATAAACTACTATTTTTTTTTTTTAATTCCACTTTTGCGATAATTTGCTGATTTTCTTCTTTAAAAAGAGACCAACCTTATCTCTGTATTCCAAAGTGTTCATAAATTACAACAATTTAAGCTTGGATAGTGCACCTGCATGCCTATTTTAAAAAATGGGGGGTGAGAGTTAATTAATATGCAGTTTTTAATTAAAAATATAATTTAAGAGTGTCACACCAAAGGACAACAAAACGTAACACTTTTGTAGTGGTTCCAAAAAAGTTAAATATTTTAACAATTCTGAGACAGAAATTGACCATGTGCACATGTCATGGGCTTCAGTAACATAATCATGAATGGGGTCCTTCAGCTAATGTGATTTTGTTCTGGAATTGGCCAATTTAAAATCAGGATATGGTGTCACACCATAGGACATGGTTTTCAGAGACAAAATATATCAAGTTCCTACGCTTTCAGAAATATATGGATGAAAAAAATGATTGCCATTTACTAAAATAGACACTTGTACAATTATGCCGGAGGTATTTATTAACAATGTTATGTTTTTCTTCTTAATTTATAAAAGTTGTAATTTACTGAACCATGCTTGAAACAGTCACACCATAGGACAATTTTGAGATTTGGCAAAAAAAAATTTTTTTTTAAATCTAATAACACTGCAGCTTTTATAACAACAGGTCCATGTAGGGCAAATACATTTTTAATGATTTACTGCATTTTAAATAACGACAATATTAATTGTATTCATTTGTATCTTGTGGGACAGTGAAAATGCCATGTCACGTCAACAACCCGTATATATATATATATATATATAGTTTTAGATAACCCTAGTGAAAAATAAATATACTGAAATGTATTTGAAATACATTTATTTCATGTTAAGTATACTACAAAAACATTTACATATTTAAAAGTCTGCTAAATTGGAACAACAAATTTTGTGCTTAATGCACTTTGATTGTGACGTAGTGGTGCTGAAAATATATTAAGAATATTAAGATAATATTAACAAATGTGCATTGTGCACAAGTAGTACTCCAAATAAAGTTTAATTATAATTTTTATATCAGGGAGTCTCAATCAATATGTCAGTAAATATGTTAATAAATTTAAACTATGCTTAATATGAAATACATTTATTTGAAATATATTACCTTTTTTTACTGGGGAAAGATTTTTTTCATGTTAAAAATGGTAGATATGTTTTGACAGATGTTATAATCCCACCAGATAATATGACAATGTGCATCAACACACTAGACACACACAAAACAAGATTAAACAGTGATTATAGCTGTCAAACATACACACATTCTGCATGAAAGCAGTAACAAAAAAATGCAGCTCTGACTGTGCTGCCTCAGCCTCTAATATCTGAGGCAGTATATACAGTGGAGATCAAACTTAAAGAACAATCTATAAATACTGTTAATCTTCATCACTCAAAATCTGAAGGAATATTAGCTGTAGGTATACCACTGTTCTACCAACATGTTTGACAAAATAACATAATAATAATAATAAGGCATTTCAACAAAAACCTTCATTTTGTGGAAAACACAGTGATTAAAATTAGAGAACTGAACAGTAACCATGCACTGTAGCATGAAAGAGGATTACAACTACATTTTTGGAGGGTTACAGCTGTCAGAAATTAGTAGGAAGTGTAGAGGCCCTCATTTTGAATGACTTC